TTTAACTCGTTTATTCTTTATGTAGTTCTATAGAAATAAACAGTAAGGTTAACAAGGCACGAAAGGTAAAAAATGCGAGGTAGAAATCAAAAGGAGGGTGGACGTACATTCGAGGTGCTTAGACGAAAGATCGTTTGAATGACACAGATGCTTTGCTGCTAGTTTATAGGGGGCAGGAAATTAAAGAACGAGGGAACCAATAAGGACACGGTGCGGGGAACAAATAGCGTGGGGCGGTTGAATAGAGGCAATTCTGTGCCGGAAAGGGGGAGTAATTTGCAAGCGTCTGAGGACAGCGGTGGTGACAGCTGTCATCGAACCAGAGGGGGAGAGGGCAATATCAAATGTGAGCAGCTGGGCGTATACAAATGGCCTTAGAATGTGTCGATCGGGTAAAGGGGTTTCAAGTGGTCCTCACCGCAGTCGCTTGTATATCACCACACAAAGAGTCAACTGGGTTGAGTGTGTTCAGGCCCGAAAACCGCTGTGTTTCGTTCACTTTCCTGTAGAAGGCGAGAAAGTTGAATGTGGGGTGGGGACAGTATTCCAGCAAGCGCTTAAGTGGTGCTTGGCCGGGAGACTAGATTGAACGCCAGTGTGCAGTCGACTGGAGCAAAGGGGCCAACAGTAACATATTTCTTGGAGGAAGGGGACTTGGGCACGCAGTTCAGCGCAAATTAAATCCGAAGATGACATTGACGTGGTGACTGTCATACTACTTGCAACATGTATATGTACTACTACGAGAAGACCGGGAGCCCGGCCTAACTTTCGGTCTTTTGCACAAAGCTTTATATAGTTCTACTATATCTCCTGTCAGCTGAAAGTCGAAACAACCACCAAATATTGCTCCTTATCTTAAGTTTCTTTCCCAGTCGCAAATAACTCTGTAACTATCAGAAGGCTGATCACATGAACGCGGTTCCCAACGCAGCAGTTTTTCTATTTCCCAAGTCTGATTTGTCCTTTCTATGAACCTTTAGGACTGCATCCAGTTTGCTGCCGATTGCTACGAGGCGAATGAAAGAAACTGCCCTATCCGGAACCCTTTGAACAGTGGAGGCCAGTTCAGCGTGAAACTGGTTGAGGGCGAGGAAGATCTCTCTGAGGCGATCATGAGATTGCGGGGGCTTGGAAGCCAGCCGCCGAATGATACCGGTCAGTTTTGATAAGAAACATATCCGAGTAAGCGTGTTTTAGTATTTAACTCCCTTAGGCGTAAAAAATATCTGTTAACTATATGACTCACATAGGTACGAACGCATGAAGCCATGACAGGTTCGTTTGTGGATGTTTCGCAACCAGTGATGCTTTTCGCCAAACACTCTGCGTTCTTGATAACATAGGGGCGGGCCAGCTACAGCTTTGCTACCTCGAGAAATTTCCTGCTCCATAAAATCATCCCACACTGCCTATCCCAAAGTCCTACTGCGGTAACAAAACGACCGTTGTCGAAATGAAGGCGATGTTTCCTTTATACATTAATAGTTACTAACAGAAGAGTAATAATATATTTTCACTAAAACTCAATTTCCGTTAATTGCAACAATAAGAATCACCTACAGAAGGCTAGCAATGAGGGGTGCCTATGGGGAGAGGTCGTTTAAAAGGAGAAACATAATGCAGAATAATAACAACTACAACTTTTCAACTGTCCAGTTAAGGCTAAAACAGCAAAACATCAGGTGGATGAGCGCCCAAAGGTCAGTTACGGAACTTACTTGCCCGGTGTAACTTGCAGTTCAATCTTGAGCCCCGCCAGCAGCTGCCGGACGAGTGAGTTCCGTAACTAATCGATGGGTGAGCCCCCACCTACCGCAGTGTATATTCCCGACCGAAACCGGAAAGACAACGAGCCCGTAGCGCAGTGGTTAGAGCATCGACTTTCTAGCCAACAAGGTGGCACGCTTGAGCCTTGGGAGTTGGGTATGGCTGGCTGATGACGGCCACTGTGTCAGAAATGGCCAGCTCAGTCTCGCATGTCTTTCTCGGTAATCTTTTTCAGCACAGCGTCTGTCTGACAGGCAACGCATAATCAGGTTATCTATAGGGGTTCATTTAATGTGAGCATTTAGCACAAAATCAAGCCCTTCTTACACGGACGAATTTTTCTTTGACTTGTACTAATTTCTTTAAATAACTGCAGAAATATTTTTGATGGGGCGATGAGGCAAGCTACTGTCTTAAATGTTAGGTTAAAGTTGCTAACGCTATCAGATTCATAGCCAGTTGTATCCATTTTCGCCGCCTACGATTGCAGATCTGGAGCCTCCGAGAAGTGCTTCCAAGGGACGCCTCCGGGCCTTTACTTGCCTTACGCCAGAAATTCACCTGCCCGACAGTGTCAGTATGCCAGAGGCGGCCGCGCCCCCGAAGAGTGCCGAAGGAGTCCAAATCCTGTTCCTGCCCTTCGCAGTCAAGGAATACCAGGCCTGTCTCCTCTTCTCCAACCTGGAGGCGGGTGATTTTGTTGTGCGCCTGACAGGCCAGGCAAAACCCCCAAAGCCTATGATCTTGCCCTTGAGGTCTGAGAGCGAGGGCGCGGAAACTGGAAAGGAAGCTCCAGAATCTTCTATGCGAATCGCACCCAACTTGGCTGCAGGTGAGTTCAAGAATAATTTCACCACAATTGTAGTAATCGATTAGTTTTGGTGGGCACTTGACATCAGATCAATAGTGTAAATGCAGTTAGACATACAGTCTAGTTTAAGTTTGTCAGTCGGAAGAAGTATCTCGGTAATAATATACAGTACGTGACATATCTGATGAAAGGTTTAGGAGTGGGGGATTTAACACAAACTTGAG